AATGTTCCCATAGGCATTATTCATAATGGCCAATATGTGAGGACAACTTAAATGTCCATTAAGAGTAGAATGAGTAACCAAGTTATAGCACATTTATTATGAAGTAGAAGACTATACAGCCACAAAAATTGCTACGTGGGAGAATCTTCAACAATATTGTTGTAAAATAGTAAAAAAAAAAAATAGTCTACACAGCACACTTCCACTTACGTAACGACTCAAAAACAAGTATTCTAAATTAAAATAATTGAAGTCAAGATAGTGGAGAAGGAGGGAGTAGTGCTTGGGAGGATACACAAGAGACTTTCTGAGGATATTGTTTGGGTTCTTTTTTTTAATGTTTATTTATTTTGAGAGAGAGAGAGAGAGAGCATGAGTGGGGGAGGGACAAAGAGAGAGGAAAACAGAGAATCCCAAACAGGCTCCCCACTGTTAGTGCAAAGCCCTACGTGCGGCTTTATGCTATGAACTGTGAGATCATGACCTGAGCCAACATCGAGTCAGACACTCAACTGACCGAGTTACCCAGGTGCCCTTGTTGTTTGGGTTTTTAACCTGAGTTCCAATTCCTTTCTAATTCATTGAACTATGTTTTGTGTACTTTGTATATGATATCCTTCACGGCAAAAAAGGTTATATAAGATAAAAAGGTCCAGGGTTTAGCACCATTCATAATACCAATTTTAAAAGATGTATATGAGTCAAATCAAGGACTTTAGGGTATTAGAAAATGCAGACCCAAGATTAAGCATGAGGCAGAGAAATAAAAAAATCAAGGGAGATGAATTTCTTTTAATAGTATGGTGCTGGGCCAAGCAGCCTTGGATAAGCATGTTTAAAAAGAAATAACAGTTCACATCTCAGATTATTTGTTCCATTCTGGGGTGTTTACAGAGCCACAGAACAGATATAGTGTATCTTCCTACAACATTGATTTTATGTAAAGATTTGGAGAAATAATATTTTTATATTAAAACCAGATATATCATGGACTAAGTTAAAGCATATTGCAAAGGAATTCCATGCTCACAATAGATTGCTTCCAGATATTTCTCCAAATCCCTGCTTTTTTGGGTTTCTGGACCTTATACCTCTAAGATTTTTTAATTGAAATTTTTAGGTACAGCATGATAAATTACCTGAAGTGTAACGCTTGAAGCTACAGTAGCACTGAACACAGTGAGCTCTAGATTCTAGTCTTTTTTTTTTTTATATTTTTATTTATTTCTAGGAGAGAGAGAGAGAGAGAGAGAGAGAGCGCGTGAGCAAGGGAGGGTCAGAGAGAGAGGGAGACGCAGACTCCGAAACAGGCTCCAGGCTAGCACAGAGCCCGACGTGGGGCTCGAACCCACGAACCGCGAGATCATGACCCAAGCGAAAGTCGGTCGCTTAACCGACTAAGCCACCCAGGCGCCCCTAGATTTTAGTCTTTACTGCTGGTAGTGTGGGTATAAGGAGCTAGGCAGTGTGGGTAAAGAAAAAAAAAAGGTAGGGACTGTAGGGAGAGTAAAAATGATGAAGGGGTCAGGGAATATAATGAGGAGTATAGAATGTGTTTTCTTCCTTTGCTTTTTTTTCACTCCAAGGGATGACACAAAGAAGAGGAAGGTATTATCTTATGGCTGCCATAGGAAGGTTTTATTTTGGGTCCTACCATTTCACATTCCTGACTTAACCTCTGGAAGGCTCCAGGCCAGGAGAGCCTGGGTGGCTCAGTTGGTTACGTGTCCAACTCCTGATCTCAGCTAAAAGGCACTGGGCCAATGTTGAGCAGCGGAGTGGACACAGAGGCTATGGGGTAACTAATTCTGAGGTTCAAAAAGGAGAAATTACTGGATTTGTTGTTTCTCTCTTGGTCTCCTGCCAACCCCGACGTCTACTCCATCCTCAACATTATCATTGCTTAACATGCCAAGCCCTGTTATAAACGTTTCCAGAAGGGAAGACAGTTACACAGAGTTGAATGATTGCTTAAGGACACATGGCTATTAAGTGTCTTGTTCTTTATTTTCGGAGGAAAGCAGTTTTTCATTAAGTACAATGTTAGCTCTGATATTTATGGCTGCCCTTTATCGGGTTAAGTTCCTTTACATTCCTGGTTTGCTGACAGTTTTTATCAGGAGTAGACTTTGGATTTTAGCAAGTACTTTTTGTGCACGTTTTGAAATAATCCTATGGGTTTTCTTATTTTGTCTGTTAACGTGAGAATTACATTAAATTTTTAATGTGATATTAAGGCATCCCTAGATCATGATATATTAGCCTTTTAATATATTGTTGGATTTCATTTGTTAGCACCTTGTTAGGAAATTCTGCATCTATGTTCCTGAGTGATATGCATCTATAGTTTTCTTCTTTGTCTCTGCCTCTTCTCTGCACACTGCATGAATTTGCCCTTCACCTCGCTAATGTTTGGGGGTTACAGGGGAGGGGGTTGTCCAACCTCTTTTTCCTCCTTTCTATGTCTCATATTGGATCCTTTCTGTTGCTACATCTTCAAATATACTAATCTTTTGTTCTGTAATGTTCAGTCAGCTATTAAGCCTGTCCGATGTCTTTTTCATCTCAAATGTTGTATTTTTCCTCTTCAGAAATGGATTTGGGTCTTTTTAAATATCTTCCATGTTCCCAATCTTTACTTACTTTTTTGAAAATATGGAATATTGTTATAACAATTATTTTGATGTTCTTGTCTACTAATTCTAGTATTCATATCATTTCTGGGGTCTTTTCATTAGTTTCTCTCATTATGGGTCATATTTTCATCTTTGCACGGCTGTTAATTCTTTATTGGATGCTAAACACTGTGAATTTTACTTTATAGGTGTTGGATTTTTTTCTACTTATATAAATACTCTTGAGTTATGTTTTGGGACACAGTTAACTTACAGTTTGATCTCTTAGAGGCTTGCTTTTCAGCTTTTTTAGGCAGGACCAGAGGAGCCTTATCTAACTGTTCTATAAAATGAAATTCATCTAGAATGTAACTTTGTTCCATGTGTTACTTTTATTGTTTTTCCCTTGGCATTAGATTTATTCGTGTGTTTTAAAATTTTGTTTTGTGACTTGGGGCGCCTGGGTGGCTTAGTCGGTTAAGCGTCCGACTTTCGCTTAGGTCATGATCTTGCGGTTTGTGGGTTCGAGCCCCGCGTCGGGCTCTGTGCTGACTGCCAGCTCAGAGCCTGGAGCCCGTTTCAGTCTGTGACTCCCTCTCTCTCTGCCCCTCCCCTGCTCACGCTGTCTCTCTCGCTCTCTCCTAGGGAAAAAAAAATTTGTTTTGTGACCTAAATTTTAGTAGAATCCCCTCTCCACCCCCCCTTGTCATCACCCTTGCTATTTAACCTTTTACAGTGCCTTCAACCAGATGCCCCTAGTCAGCGACCAGGTCATATGATGACACATTGATATTGATATTGGTCTACCAGCTTCTAGATTCAAGTTATGAACCTGGCCCTGGCTCTGGCCTTGAGTGGACAGCCTATAAGGTTCTTAACAATGTGAAGGCTTACTGGCCTGCCTGCTGCAGAGACTCAGGACCCATCAAACTATGGCATCCTCCTTACTCATCACTTTATATTTCTTTCCCTTTGCAGAGTCATAAAGATTTGTTCTTGAACCCAACTAAGTCTCTTTTTCCCAACATTTTATTATTAAAATTTTCAAACATACAGAAAACTTGAAAAAATTATACAATGAACATACATATGCCCGTCACTTAGGTTCTACAATCAACATTTTGCTATCGAGCCTTTATTATTATTTGTAATCTTACTTTTGATCGCTTCAAAGTAAGTTGGTACTCTTTCCGTAAATACTAAAGCATTGCGTATTATTAGCTAGAGCTCACCATTTTTTTTTGTTGGTAGTTCCTTTTTTTCTTTTGAAGTAGATTTACACACAGTGAAATGTATAAATCTTCAGTGTTCTAAAACACATCATCTATACAACTCAAACCACTACCAAGATATACAACATTGCCATCACCAGAGAAAGTTTCCTTATGTCCTTTCCTGGTCAGTCCACACTCCTCCCTTCCCCCAACTCCCCCTCGCCCACCCCCACAAACATCCATTGCCCTGTTTTTTTGTTTTTTTGTTTTTTTCCTACCATCAATTTGTTTTGCCCGCTCTACAATTTTACACTACGGAATCATATAACATGTACTTCTTTGTGTGAGGCTTCTTTGCCTCAGCATGTTGTTTTTGAGATTTATCCATGTGGCTGTAGCAATAATTTATTCCTTTTCATTGCTGAGTACGACTATTCCTTTGTTTAAACACACCACAGTTTGTTTTCTCATTTCAATGGGGTCTCTCTGATTTCTCTGTTTATCTTTTATCTATCACTGTTAAGTGGAGAGAAGAGAGAACGTCAAAGTAGGTATTTAATGGTGCCATCTTAACCTAAAGTCCTCTGGCTTGTGTGTAGTCATTTTATTTTTTTTTAATTGAATAAACTTAGCTGCTTTCTAGTTTTATGAGGGATTGAGTTTAGTCCCTTTCATTTTCCTTCTAATCCTTTTACTATGCATTATCACATTTTTACATGAAATTTAAAAGTAGGAAATATGTTATATAAATGAAGTGCTATATTTGGTATTTAAAGGTTCTCTTGTCCCATTAATAATGTCAAATAGTCTGCATATTAAATATGAATTTGATTTTTGTGTCATGTAAAAAGTTCAATAATTCTTACATTTTTGCTGTTAGTTACAATTTATCTATAATGACTACTGCTTTGTTATCAACAGTAATATTAACAGTAGAACTCTTTGTCTTCAAGAGTATGTCAGTTCAGCCAGCTGAAGAATGCATTGCAATTATGTACGGGCCCTTTAATCCCTCAATTCTAGATTAATTCTGTAATATAAATTGAATAACAATCTCTTTTGTGATGCTTATGTTAAAAGGGAAAACTAATAAAGCACAATATACTTCACATAGAACAAAGTTTCACCATTTGCTAGAATTATGTATTACTTTATTTTTATTTTTCTTCAGGTTTGGTTGGGATGTTCCAGTAATTTTGAGAAATTCGGAAGAGACTCAGTTCAACACAAGAGTTTTCAAAAAGCAAATGAGACAAGTCAAGAATCCTTTTGGCTTAGAGATCACTAATCCATCTTCAGCTTCAATTACAAGTTGGTGACTGTTTTCCAGAGATTTTTTTCTTTCTTTCTATGCCCCTTTCTCAGCACATTAATTTTTTTTTCTTTATTGCTTTCTCTTCTTTGGACTTAATAAGTATTTATTGAACACCTGTTTTGTTCTAGGAGCTATACTAATACTACAGATACAGAGACTAATTATTCACAAACTTTGCTTCTCAGGAACTTACCAACTAGCAAACTGAGGCATTTGTGTGAAAATAAAGTATCACAGATGTTAATAAGATAAGTCTGTTGCACTGCTGTTTTCATGGGTCTTCAGTGCAGTGAGAAATGAACAGATGGTGTGGTAGAAACACAGTGAATGTAAGGTTGCTAACTTTCTGAAGAATAACTTTTTAATCTGAGATTGTGGTATTTTGGGTATAAGTTATTTTGGTATAAAATGTTATTTTGGGAGATGGTAATAATAGATGATGTTTGCTTCTGTGCTTTTTGGAAAAGTAAGTTGTCTGCTAGACTATCTGGGAACCACTGGAGTGAAACATAGAGGAAAAGAAAAGAAAAAAAGAATAGAAAGGAAAGAAAGAGGGAGGAAGAAAGGGGGAGGGAGGGAGGAAGGAAAGAGAGACAGGAAGGGAGGAAAGAGAGAGAAAGAGAAAGGGAAGGAGGGAGGAAAGAAGAAACGGTTAAGTTTGCTGAGGTGGGGAGGCAGGCATAAGGAAAAGCCTCATAAAGAATGTGCTGAGTCTGTCTTATTTTTTTTTTTTCTTTTGCTTTCCTTTTTTTTTTTTTGAGTAGAGTCTTCAAAGATAAGTAGGTGTTTATCTCATGAGGTTGGGAGAAATTCTAGGTAGAGGGAGAAGCATGAACAAAGCACTGAGATAGAAACAGAATAATCCGTTAGAGAAACAATCGATAGTTTGTTACAGAGAAAACACAGGGTGGGACAGGTAAGAGAGAAGAGTGGGGGGAAGACTCCGGTTCTTTGCAGGGCCCTCCAGAGACAGATCCTATTACCAGGATAAATAGTACAGGAGGAACAGCAGGTTCTGGAAGAAAGGTAATGAATTCAGTTTTGAACTTCTGGATTTTGAAATGCTTTTTTAGCAGCTGAGATACAGGGTATAGTTCCATAGTTCTACAAAGATTTCTAGGCTGAGACCCTGTCACCTTTTACACTTGCTCACATTTCTGGGATCTTAAAAACAAATAACCCCAGCCTTTCTCAGCTTTTAACCCTGTTGTATATCCTGTCCCCTTTCTTTTCCCTTCATAGCCAAGCTTCTCAAAAGCCAGTTGCATTTGCCTTCTTCCCTTAGCCTGCTTCACTTTCCACAGATCAGTGCAGTCTGATTTTTGTCTGTATCCCTTTACTGAAATGGCTTTCCCCAAGGTCGCTGATGACCACTTCTGTCCCCCACAACCTTGCCCTTCTGCAGTCAGAAAATCCTGTCGACACTTTGTAGACATGAGTTAGCACTATCTCTGCAGAGTTTCACAGAGTTGACCAATCCTTCCTTCTTGACACCCTGCTCCCTTAACTTCTGTGACCCTTCCTGTATAGCCATTTTCCTGTCTATAACTTCCAGAATCACTTGTTGAAAAGCAGCATACTTAGTCGATAGGGATTATCAACCTTAAGTAAATATTGATTTGTAATGAAAAAGTACAAAGTTTCTTATTCTGCCTTAGCTGTAAATTTTATACTATTAGCCTATGAATTAAAGAGAACTAAGGACCTCTTTTTTTTCCCCTCTCACGGTGGGTAAGGGGTTCATTCTGACATTTTTCATTAGGGAAAAGCGTGTTTAAGGTATGACACAGGTAAATAAATAAATACATAAATTTAAAAAGGGGTGTCTGGGTAGTACAGTCAGTTAGGCGTCTGACTCTTGATTTTGCCTCAGATAGTGATCTCACAGTCATGAGATCAAGCCCCACATCAGGCTCCATGCTGGGCTTGGAACCTGCTTAAGAGTTTTCCCTTTCCCTCTGCTCCTACCCAACTCACGTGTGCACTTTCCCTTTTCTCTCTCTCAAAAAAGAAAAAAAAAAGATATGACAGAGAAAATTAATCTGTTTAGAAAACATGCCTAATTAAAAGGTACAGAACAGTTGTAGTTAGTTCAGGGGCACCTGGGTGGCTCAGTTGGTTAACTCTCTGACTCTTGGTTTTGGCTCAGGTCATGCTCTCACAGTCTGTGGGATCAAGCCCTGTGTTGGGCTCTGCACTGACATTATAGAGCCTTCTTGGGACTCTCTTTCTTCTTCTCTGGCCCTCCCCTGCTCTCGCTCTCTCTTTTTTTTTTCTCTCTCTCTCTCTTTCAAAAAACATAAACTCATAAAAATAAGAAAATAAGAACAGTGGTAGGTTGGTGACCTCTGACCTCTGTGGCCAGGCACTTGGATCTGCTTCAGTGTCATATCTGGGTCTTAAGCAAGACTCCTGACCCAAAAAACTACCAGTACAAAGCCGTCCTTCCCACCACACAGTTCCACAAGCCTGGAAACGCTGAAAAAGTAAAAACTGATTTATTGTTACCAAGCAAACACACTTGTGAGCTAGAAAGTTTGAGGAAATCCATTAGTTTTCCTTGTAGGCAGAAATAGTCCCCCTCTAAATGTTAGAAGCAAATGAAAAGATATCCATTGAATAGAAGACCTGTCAGTCACTAACCAGCAATAGCATTACCAAAGTACACAAAAAACATTTTTGATGTTTGGATTTATAGCATGCTTCTTGAAGTATTTTAATTTTTAAAATACCAGTACCCATCACTGATTATCTGTCTTTTATGGGGAAATAAGGAGAGGGATTTTGGAGGGAATTATATTCAACAGAATAGAATTCATTTGTTTAAACTGTAGACAGTGGATATCATTAAAGATGTCTAACCAGGACATTAAAATAATATTCTCGGCAATAATTGTGACATTTTACAAGGTTATTTCATTTGATGTGTAGATAGTTTAAAAATCCAGGTCCTTGGGGCACCTGTGTGGCTCAGTTGGTTGAGCATCTGACTTTGGCTCAGGCCGTGATCTCAGGGTGCATGGGTTTGAGCCCCACATTGGGGTTCGCTCTGACAGGGCGGAGCCTGCTTTGGATTCTCTGTCTTCCTCTCTCTCTGTCCCTCCTTGGCTTGTGTTCTCTGTCTCTCAAAAATAAATAAACATTAAAAAAACAAACAAACCCAGGTCCTTTTTCACCACTGTCCCCAAGGTGCTGGGCACGTAGGGGAGGGAAGGGGACTACCTGGAGATCTGATTTACTTGAAAGTGAATGAAACTCCATTTTAATCATAGTCATTTAGCTCTCTTTACTATGGATGGGTTGCTGGGATTTCTTTTGTTTGGATACTGTGGTGATACTGTGTTTGGATTTACAGTGTTTCCATGTCCCCAGTGTAAAAGGTTTTATGGATATGTTAGTTGAGTTGAATTCATTTGGGCCAGAAATTCTCCTGTTCCTTTGTAACAGTTTCCTTGTATTCTGGCTTATTTACCCTGTAGACAATATGACACACATTGCATTTTGGAAGGAATTTGTGAACTTCTATTCTCTCCAATGTAAGATTTTCATTTCCCATCACTCCAGATTTATTACCCTCAGCATGATCACCTTGTACATTAGTTCTTCTTTCTCAGGGATTCTCTTCAAGAAAGTTTGTGGCTTTTCTGTTCTATTGTTTCTTTTTTTTTTTTTTAATTTATTTTTTTGAGAGAGAGAGAGGGAGACAGAGCGTGAGCAGAGGAGTGACAGAGAGAGATGGAAACACAGAAGCTGAAGCAGGTTCCAGGCTCTAACCTGGCAGCACAGAGCCTGACGCGGGGCTTGAAGTTGTGAACCGTGAGATCATGACCTGGGCCGAAGCTAGATGCTTAACCGACTGAGCCACCCAAGGCGCCCCTGTTTCTCCTTTTTTTAATGGCTCAATTTTTTTGCAAGACTGTCTCTTATGCTGGGCTTTCTTTGCCTGTTACAGGTTAGGGCAGGCTGGGAGAAATATCCCCCATGCTGCTTCGGTTGGTTTAGATTCAGAGTTTTCTGCTCTAAGGCTGCGTTCCAAGTCTGCTGTTGCTCTTGATCTGAGATGGCATTGTGTTTGCACTGAATCTTAGAAGACTAAGAAAATGTAAGAATGAGAACTGTCTGCAGAACAAATGAGAAAAACTATAGGGAGAACAGCTTTGCCCCGGGGGGATTTGAACTGACATCAGTTAGTGTAAATCAGTACATTATCTTCTCAGTCTGTGTCATGGGCAAGTTTAGGAAAGATTGTGGAGAGTGGAATTTATAGATTCTATTCTTTCTCACGAACTTAAAATATTAACTTCAGAGACACACTCTGTTGAAGTCTGCTTAGTATCCGGTTGTCAGTGGTCTCTGACACTCTGCCCCTTTTAGTCAAGTATATTCGGTGTGTTAACGAGTCTTTTATGCAGCTCTGAGTCTCTGGAGCTCTGGTTCTTTTTACACAGCAAATAAACTGGGTAGTTTTATAAGTTTTAGGGCTTATCCTTCCATGGTTGTTTGTTAGTGTAAACACACACGTGGATATGGATGCCCCTCCTGTGAGATAAATAGTACTACGCTGTAAGCTTTCCTGCACCTTGCTTTTTTCTCTTAACGATAGATTCTGAAGATCATCCCACAGTAGAAGATACAGATATTTTGCTATGCTTCAGTTCTTTTTTAGGAGCTACAAAGTACTTCATCATAGAGCATTTCACATTTTATTCATTTAATCCCCTATCAGTGGGCATTTGGTTAACTTCCTGCATTTTGAAAAAACTAGTGCTGTATAGATACATCTTTTCACATTTTTCACATTTTTTCCAAGAATATTAAATCATTTTCTGGGTTCCTTTTTTTTTTTTTTCACTTTCTTTTATATGCCTTTTCTATTTTTCCCTTTCTTACCTACTTCGTCTTTCCTTACTTCATGTCCTCTGGTTCTGTTGTGACATAAAGAAAAGGATGTATGATTTTTAACATATATTAACTTCAAACATACAAGCATTGTTATGTAACATAATATAAATGGTATATATTAACATTGATATATGTTTTATTATAATATGTAAATTAATATAATGCATATTAGATTTAATATATAAATATATATTTAAATGTGTATTGATGGAATGTTTTTCTTCAGCTATTTAATAGATAATTGAAAAATAATAGCTAATTAAAATTTCCATTCTTTTTTTTTTTTTATTTTATATATTTATTTAGAGAGAGAGAGAGAGAGATTGAGAATCCCAAGCAGGCTCCAACACTTAGTGCAGAGTCCAACATGGGGCTCAATCTCATAACCATGAGACCATGACCGGAGCCAAAATCAAGAGCCAGACACTTAACCGACTGAGCCACCCAGGCCCCCCAAATTTCCCATTCTTTGATTAATACCTGATGATTGGAATCATATAAAACATTGAAATCAAATTCTGTTGCAATTACATATGCAAAGTTCCTGCCAATTAAAATTTTTGCCTAACTATTATTAGAAATTATCCTATGTCGCTGCTAGTATACGTACTCTAAATCTGAGACTCGATGTACATACTACTAATTACTGAGAGGGAAAGTGAAAAACTCAATTTTTGGTATCCTGTAGAAAATCTTATGTTTGTGTATATCCTTCCAACACTTAATCTTGATCATGTTTCAAAAAATACATAATGGGGCACCTGGGTGGCTTGGTCAGTTGAGAGTCTGACTTCGGCTCAGGTTATTATCTGGTGGTTTGTGAGCTCCAGCCCCACATCAGGCTCACTGCTGTCAGCCTGTCAGTGCAGAGTCTGCTTTGGATCCTCTGTACCCTCTCTCTGCCCCTCCCCAGCTGGTGCTCTCCAAAAAATAAACAGTAAAAATAAATATGTATCTAAAAATTATAAATAAAATAAAAAATACATAATGTATTAATCAGAATTCCTATTAAAGCAACAGAAATGACCTCAATAAAATGATACAGGGTAGCTTACCAGAATTGCCAGTAAGTTTGGAGAGCCAGAATCAGAGACCAAAGCTATTCAGCCAAGAACAATGCCCTAAACCATGTACTTAAAAAAAAAATTTTTAGTGTTTGTTTATTTTGGAGAAAGAGAGAGAACGCGAGTGGGGGAGGGGCAGAGAGAGAGGGACACACAGAATCTGAAGCGAGCTCCAGATTCTGAGCTGTTGGTGTGGGGCTTGAACTCACTAACTGCGAGATCTTACTTAACCTGAGACAAAGTTGGACGCTTCCCGAATAAGCCACCCAGGTCCCTCTTGAACCATGTGCTTTTGATCTAGTTAAGTCCACCACTGCCACCGAGCACCAGATACGGCAGTTTCCTCTAACAGCTGTAGAAGACACTAGATATTGCTGCCCTTGAACTTGATATTGCTGCAACTGCCATAAGCAAGGGAAAAAAAATCATACAGGTGGCACACAGTAAGTCCTATGAAGTGTTTAATAAATAAGTAAAATGATATAATTTGTAGGTCTGCTTATCATTTATTTGTCCACTTAATCAGGTTTATTCAAATAACAATATTTTTTTATGCTGAAAGCAAACAAATGAATGAGGACATTGCTATAAAGCCCTTCATGTTTTGGAATCCCCACTCTTTCCCTAGGATATTTTGCATGTTACGTGGGACATTAACTGTGTGATAGAGTATATGTATATTAATGTTGTCAGTGTGTATATTAATAGTAGTAAGGCTTGATTTCTTTTTAATATTTGTTCCTGCTTCAGTGGTCATCTTGTGGACCCCATGAGTTACATGTGCCCACTTTCGAGACAGCTCTGCTCTGAAGGTTGCATAATCCACTTTTGGAGACAGTGCTACTATTTCTTGTATTTAGGATTTTATATGCTATTAAAGTGGTAGGTTATCAATAGTGAACTATATTTCAGTTGTTAAACTGTGTGTGAGAGAAGTCTTTAAGTCACACACACAAAATTAACTTGATCATTTCTAAGTATAAGTGTGTAAATAATAAAGAGTTTACTGATGGTGCTTCAAAATTGTGTAGACGTGGAAGTCTTTATGTCACTTGTTCAGGGACTAGTTCCTTCATTTACAGGCACATGCCCTTTAATGAGTTCTTTTATGCCACCAACTTGGCCAGCATCCAAAAGGAAGCTTTTGTTATTCACTGTGTACCATTGTATTAGGAATTACATTAGGTAATTTTCTTGTCTTTGTCTTCTCTTTGTCTTTGTTTTCTACAGCTGGCATAACTTTGACAACAGATTGCCTTGAAGATAGCCTCCTTACATGCTATTGGGGGTGCAGTGTTCAAAAATTATATGGAGCTCTACAGAAGCACTTTTATTGCTTCCGAATAAGTACTCCCCAAGCACTGGAAGATGCTCTGTATAGTGAATATCTTTATCAAGAACAGTATTTGTATCCTTTTATCTCATATATCCACTAACAAATGAACATTTTAGACATCAGACTTTTTATGGATAAAATAAACTCTTTTCTAAGTTACTGTTACTGTTGGTGTATTGCTGTATTTTTGATTATAGTGGCAATTTACCTTTACATCTTCAAAAAGTATTAAAAAGGACAGCAAAGAAGAAATATATTGCCAGTTACCAAGAGACACTAAAATTGAAGACTTTGGTACAGTGCCCAGATCTCGCTATCCATTGGTAGCAGTGTTGACGCTAGCTGATGAGAATGACCGAGAAATTTATGATATTGTAAGTAATTTTAAAATTCTGGAAACATTCCTTCAAGTGATTTGGATGATGGGTCATCATTATTTGGCAAATAGACAAAGTTTTGTTTTCATTCTTGAGGCTATACATTTGGCCCAGACACACTTTTCTTGAAAACGGAATCTATGGGAAATACTGTTGTATGATTTTTATACATAGAACAGCTCCTTTAGAGTATGACTGTTTTTTCCATAGGAGTTACAAGAATATGATAATTACTTAGAAAATAAAAGTTACATTATAGTTGAATTAATTTTATTCGATAATCCATATGTTTGCTAGGTAGATAAAGTCAGGAAGCGTGTTTATTCTTAATATTTTTAACACTGAGTAGATAAGCATTGTAACCATCTGCAGTGCTCGATTTTAAAATAGTGTTGCCTCTTTGCATGCTTAACAGCACCTTGTTTCCGTCGTAGCCTCTGCTGCACCTACATCGTATATGTATTTGGTTCCTGTATTTTCAGTAATTCTAGTAATCTCCATTTCTCATTATGTGCTAATTATTTCTTTAGTCTGGTAGTTTGTCCCTACTGGGAAGATAAAATCATCTTAGTGATCTAAGAGGACCTGAGCCCTGACATTCCTCTAAGTACGGTAGAGGCTTATACAGGAAATAAACTTTTGGTGAAATCCTTTCATGAGAAGAATGCCCTTATACACAACTTGCTACTTTTCTGAAGTGCATGATATAGTTATGTTTGTTGATTAAGATACGGTAACAGTTTATGATACTTGTAATATACACAGTGTATTCACTAACATTAGCTGATTTACTGCTTCCAACAACCTTATATGTTAGGACCAATATTCTTCTTATAAAGACTGAAATAGAGTCTGCAGAAAAATCCCAGTCATTCAGGAAGAGGTGGAACCAGGACTTGATGTCCTAAGCCTTTGTAGTCCTGTGCCAAGTACCTTTAAAAAAAATTATTTTTAAAGGAATATCTCCTTAAGGATTATCTCCAAGCGTACATTTTCTTGCATTCGGAAGGTGCAGACCCTTATTATTGAGGAATCTATACCCTGCTGATACACAGTTTGGGATTTTAGTCTTACCAAATTGAAGTTCTACTGAACTGAAGTCAGTTTAGTTTTTCTAAATAAGTAATACTAATAGCGGTATGTTTCCACAACCTAATAATACAGTGCTTAGAACACAGTAGGTGCTCACTAAACTTGATGAATGGGGAAAAAAAGCCATATCAAGCAATGTTAGTGAGTCTCAGAGAGCTTGACAGGAAGTCAGTTGAATGTACAGGAGCAGTGAGGAGTGCATAGGAGAGATCCTCTGGTTTTCGCCCTCTCCCCCTCCCCCCTCCCCCAACTCTTTCCAGTTGAAGATAAATAAGAACTGGGAGGTTGGTGTTTCATGTTTCCAGCCTCTGTTCTTTATCCTGCCCACCCTGGCAAGGTAACCCTTCTGTCACCACTGTGTCCCCCATGTCTTCTCTGCTTCCCTACTTCCTTCCTCTCACTCAGAACAGATAGGGTCAGATCTGTCACCTGCCTCCCAGCTTCTCCTTTTGGTTTCTTTTCCGCTCACCGAGGGTGCTCTCTATCTGTTTAAGGTACTCAGAGCCTTCGTTTTCTAACTTTCTTCCTCAGTCTGAAGAGAGTGTGTATATGTTAAAATATATATAACATAGAATTTACTGTTTTAATCACTTCCCAGTGTACAGGTCAATGGCAGTATAAATAGGGAAAATTTGCTATCAGGTCCCTGATCCAACTGGAATGAAAACTATGTGGCCCAGCTGTACATGTGGGAAACGCATTCCCACAGGGTAGCCGGCATCAGACCCTCAAGGGTTAATAGGCATTTTCTTTTTACCTTTTATTTATTTACTTTTTTCAATGTTTGTTTATTTTGAGAGAGAGAGAGAGAGAGCGACCCCGGGAGAGACAGAGAAAGAATCCCAAGCAGGCTCCACACTGTCAGTGCATACTGTGATGTGGGGCTTGAACTCACAAACCATGAGTTAATGACCTGAGCTCAAATCAAGAGTCAGACCCTTAACCAACTGAGCCACCCAGGAGCCCCACTTTTCCTTTTAAAGTCTCCCTGCCTGGGTCCTCCCCCCGGGGTCTTTTCTTCTTATCAGACTCCCTCCCCCTTTTTCCTGTTAATCTTGCTTCTCATTTCTTAACTCTCAGATCAGTTCTAATATTGGAACTAAAGCATATTTGTTAGCATAGTTTTATTAGTTTTGTCTGTTCTTAATTTTAAAAGCAAGCCAAGCATTTGGTTTTTCAATATTTCATCTGAGGGTGATAGTCTAAATCTATGTATATATATATATTAAACTCTACCATTTCTATTGTAACAGTAAAAGTTACATTTTGACAATGTAGTCAGTTATTTTAGGTAGATTAAGAAAAGCAGAGGTTGTTATTGCAGTATTTTGGCTTTGAAATTTTTTTCATTTTTACTCAATTATATTAAATTTCTGTATTATGCAAATAATTCGTGTTTGCGGCAGGAAATAGAATTAGAAAATATAGATAAGCCAGAAGGAAAAAAGCACAATCACCTATATTGTATCATCCAAAGTTAACCACTGTGAATATTTGTATCTTTGCAGACCTTTATATATGTATTTTTAAACAAAAACAGCATCAAACAGTACTGTCTTGTGACATGTTTTCATTTAGTATTTGGAGGTCTTCTTTGGAGAAGTGTCAATTCATGTCTTTTGTCCATTTCTTCACCGGATTATCTTTTGGGTGTTGAGTTTGATAAGTTCTTTATAGATTTTGGATACTAACCGTTTATGTGATTTGTTGTTTGCAAGTATCTTCTCCCATCCCATTGGTTGCCTTTTAGTTTAGCTGATTGTTTTCGTCGCTGTGAAGAAGATTTTCATTTTGTTGAGGTCCCAGTAGTTCATTTTTGCTTTTGTTTCCCTTACCTCTGGGGACGTATTAAGTAAGAAGTTGCTGCGGCCAAGGTCAAAGAGGTTTTTGCCTGCTTTTTCCTTAAGGATTTTGATGGCTTCCAATTAGGTCTTTTCATCCATTTTGAGTTTATTTTTGTGTATGGTATAAGGAAGTGGTCCAGGTTCATTTTTCTGCATGTCGCTGTCCAGTTTTCCCAGCACCACTTGCTGAAGAGACTGTCTTTAGTCCATTGAATATTCTTTCCTAACAGTCTTCGTTACACCTTGTTTTTCCCATCAGTACAGGTTCTAGGCTGGAGTCAGATATTCTATTTGTCATGTATCTTTAACCTCTGTTAATCTAGAACTATTTTCATAGCCTGTTTGTCTTTTACAACAGTAGTATTTTTTTTTTTTTTAGAAAAGAAAAGTTTACTTATTTATTTTGAGAGAAAGGGAGAGAGAGCTCATGTATGCATGGCGTGGGATCTGGGGAGGGCCTTAGGGAGGAAGAGAAAGGATCCCAAACAGGCTCTACCCTGTCAGTGCAGAGCTGGACATGGGGCTGGATCTCTTGATCCTTGAAGTCTTGACCCTAGCCGAAACCAAGAGTCAGGTGCTCAACCAACTAAGCTACCCAGGCAACCAATGACATTAGCATTTTTGAAGAATACAGTTACATATACCCTTTTTGTAAAATAGTACAGTTCTCGCTGTGTTTGTCTTATGTTTCATTATGATTAGATTGTAGTTGTGCATTTTCAGCCAGTGTACTTCACAGGTGATGATGTATGCTTTTCAGGGCTGTACCTTTCCAGGCATGGGCAGTTCTTTCCCCTCATTGGTGATGTTCATTTTGATATCTCTTGGCAAGATGTTATTTAAATTTCTCCTCTGTTCTAGTTTTACTCCTCCCTTGCAAATAGTAAGCAGTTGAGGGGGGCACTTTTAAAACCATGCAAATACCCCAATCTTTATGAGAATTTCCCCCTGGATATAATGTCCATTGATAATTCTTACCAGATTTTATCTTTATCATGATGGTTGCAAAAATGATTATTTTTCAACTCCAGCCCTTCAATCAGCCCTCAGTATTCTACTATAAGCAAGTCTTTCTCTCTTTCTCTTTCTTTCTTTCTTTCTTTCTTTCTTTCTTTCTTTCTTTCTTTCTTTCTTTCTTTCTTTCCTTCCTTCCTTCCTTCCTTCCTTCCTTCCTTCCTTCCTTCCTTCCTTCCTATCCATACAGCCTCAGGAATTCCTTTTTTCCCCCCAGTAGCTTATAAGTCATTACTGAATTTAATTATTTTGGTGCTCAACTGCCTTCTCCTTATTTTTTGCCCAAAGATTTATAGTTAAACTCTGTGTCCATAAATTACTCGGATTAGTTCTAAAAGTCAAAATTAGAGAAGGTATACTCAGGTATTGCTCTCATCCCTTCCTCCCATTCTTATATACCCCAGTTCTTGTAGATAACCAAGTTTATTTTTTTCTCATTTATCCTTCCTATGTTTCTTATTGTAATGATGAGAAGATACACATGTATATATTTTTTTCTTATTTTCTCTTTCTTACTGCAAAGGTATCACATTTTATATACCAGATATGTTCCTGCTTTTTTTACTTCATAATATCTCCTGGAAACCACTCCAGATCAGTTTGTAGAGCTCTTCCTCACTTTGTTTTTTCACAGCCGCATAGCACTCCATTGTGTGTAGGATGTATAGTTACCATAGTTACTTAGCCAATCTCCTATAGTTGGACATTCAGATAATTTCCGGTATTGTGCAATAACAAATAATCTTACACTGAATAATCTGTGCATATGTATTTTCATATTGTTGAGTTGTACGGTCGATGGGTAAGGGCATGTCATTTTGTTACATGTTGACAAATTCCCCTCAATTGGGATTATACCCTTGGAATTGTACCTTTCTTTTTTCTTTTTTATAAATTTCCACCAGCAATATATGACTATTCGGGTGACTGTTTCTCCATAGAGTGTATTGACAAACATTTGAAATCTATTAATCTAATGAGTGAGAAGTGATATCTCAGTGAAGTTTTACTTTGTATTTTGTCATGCTGTGAGTGAAATTGAAGATTTTTTTTTAGAGTTTATTTACTTTGAGAGAGAGAGAAAGAGAGCTTGAGCATGAGTAGAGGAGGGGCAGAAGAGAGGGAGTGATGGAATCTCCAGCGGGTTCCACGCCATCAACATAGTGCCTGAGATGGGGCTCAAACTCACAAACCATGAGGTCATGACCCGAGATCAAGAGTTGACGCTTAACTGATTGACCCACTCAGATGCCCTGAACATCTTTTAATATGGCTAAAGACTATGTTTATATTTTTGAGTAGATTGTTCATGTCTTTTGCCCATTTTTTAACAGGATTTTTGGTCACTTTTTTCAGTATTTAAAAGTTCTTCATAAGTTAGGGATATTGTGAATATTTTATTCCAATTCTTAAGATGTCTTTTGACCTTGCCTATGGTGCTTTTTGTGATACAAGTTTTAAATTTTTATACAGTCAGATGCATCTGCCTCAGAGTTTATGTCATAGTTAGGAAGTCTGTCCCTACACTGAGAATATAAAGGAATTCACATGTTTTCTTTTAGTGCTTACATAGTTTTTTTTTCTTTTTTACAATTAGATTTCTTATGCTTTTGGGGTTTATTTTTTATGTATGGTTATGAGAAATGCATCGTATTTTATATTTTTCCAAACAGCTATCCAGTTGTCCTAATACTTTTTATTAGAAAGACTATTTGCCTAGTAATTTCAGATGTCACCTTTATCATATTTGTATAGAAAGCTGGGTCTGTTTCTTAACTGTTAGTTCTGTTCTAGCCACCTGTCTGTTCATGTGCCTGTACCATATTATTTTAATCTTAGAGGCTTTGTAGTATGTTTTAATATCTGACTGGGCTCAGTCCTCTGCAGGGCTTTCTTTTCAGTATTTTCCTAGCTATTCTTAGGTGTTATTTTTCCATATGAGAATTTTAGAGTTAATTCATATAACTATGAAAAAGCTCTTTGGTATTTTTGTTGGGATTGCATTAAATTTATAAATGTGAGTATAACTAAAAATAACTGGCAAAAATATTGCCAATATTGAAATATTGTTCAGTAATTGATCCTTTTTAATGACTGTGATTTAAATAAATTATTGTAAGTTTTCCAATTTGTCAACCTTTTATTTTTATTTCATATGCCTATGAAATAACATTGATGGTATTCAATTTTTATTTTAGATTTCCATGGTGTCAGTAATTCATATTCCTGATAAGACTTATAAACTTCCCTGTAGAATATTATATCAATATTTACTCCTGGCTCAAGGTCAATTTCATGATCTTAAGGTAAGTACCCTGTCGTCTTCCTCTGTCCCTTTTGTCTTCAGAGTTTCAAAGAATGACCACTTATAAAGAGATAATGTTTTTCATTTAGTCACAGAAGTTAGCTGTTGTTTGCTACTGGGTTTGCTAACTCACAAATTTTGAGCAGCACAAATTTTTAACTCCCAGATTTAAAGAGTAATTGCCATTTGTGTTTATCCTTAAACTTGTTTTTTTGGTTTTCAGCAACTTTTCATGTCTGCAAATAGTAACTCCATGCCCTCCAGCAATTCATCTCCAGAAGAAAAAAGCACAGACCGAAATTTGCTGGAAAAGGCTGGACTGTCTGAAAGTGAAGTGGAGCCTCCTGAGGAGAATAGCAAGGACTGTGTTGTTTGCCAGAATGGGACTGTGAACTGGGTGCTTCTGCCGTGTAGACACACATGCTTGTGTGATGGCTGTGTTAGGTATTTTCAGCAGTGCCCTATGTGCAGGCAATTTGTTCAGGAATCTTTTGCACTTTGCAGTCAAAAGGAGCAAGAGAAAGACAAACTGAAAGCTCTTTGAGAGCATTGTTCCAACTGAAAAGTACACCTTCCACTGAAGATATAGAAATTTGTGTTCTTGGAACGAATCATAACATGGAATCTACAGTGTTGACCATCAACAAAAATTCTATTTTTAACTTCACATTTGTAGAGTACATGGATGATGAAAATTAATTCCTTCCTGTTCACCATGATAAATACTAGAATACCATCTGTGTTGATACATAAAAATTCACTCAACTCTTGAGAAAAATATAAATGTTTGCCCTTTTATCAGCTAGAGGATTTCAAATAATGTTGATTAGGAAAAATTCTGAAAAGCAATCCATCTAAAACTTGAGGAGGTTAACGTCTCAAGATTTCTGGATGCTCTGCCTTTGACATAATCTGGAGTGCAACTGAAAGTAATTGTATGTTCCCCATTTTATAAAGGAGTTGGAAAGACTTTCTAACTTTAAAACTTTTCAGAAAATAACAGTTGTTAAAAACATCCATGTAATGGTTTTTAATTTTCCTTTTAGTCACATAAACACAAGTCTTAATTTTAATATAGCTTCTTAAATCATACATGCAAGATACAGTTCATTTTTTGCAAGATACAATTCTTGACTGTTCTTGGTATAACGTAGATTAAAATGATACTCATCTGTAGGAGGCAGATATATGAAACTTGGACAGTAAAATATCTTGGCTAATTAAATTAATTGTCAAATATGATTAGGATAGCAGGATGTGACCTGTCAAGGAAGATCTGTGAGACTTGTAATGCCTTACCTTAGATTTCCTCCTGCATAGCAAATCCATCCCAAACTGGAGAGGTTTTGGAGCCAGAAAAACTTCTAAGAGAAACAAATAACTATTTTTTTCTAGTGTATTTTTATTCAGAATAGACCCATATCCTTCAGAGCAGTCACGTGATAGGCGAAGAGCCCCATCCCCCATGCTTTCCAAGATGACAAAGAAGGAAAAGGTAAATCATGACTTTCTGTGTCTTCAGGAGAAATTTAATTCACTAAGAAATGAGATCATGGCAAATAAACTGAACTTCAGGGAATTTTTCAAGACTTTTTTGCCCTGTTTGTATTAGAATAATGCCTTATCTTTGTATCAGTGTTTTTACATAATATCATTTCATTTTACTCAAATACAACACTCTGAAAAAGATATTACCTAGTCTCCATTATACACCAAATCAAACGTTCGTCTTTGTTCAATAGCTGTGTAATAATAAATACCTTCTAGGGCCACATTCCTTTTTGGGGTCAGGGCTGCAAAGAATCAGGCAAGATTTCTGACCTCAAAGTATTTGTGCCTCCAAGGAGCACTGACAGCATATCCCTCTTCAGAAATTCCTCGGTCTGTTCCAACTGTACCACTGAAAGGGGGGCCGTCCAAAGCGGCCGCCTCTGCCGCAGTCAGCCAGTGACAGTTCGTCTGGGAAACTCACTTTGGGGTAAACCGGGGGAATCTTAGATCATTTTGCCCTTTTCAGCCATCCTGTTTCTCTCTACAGATCTGTCCAGAAATATAGTTGTTTTATCATATGTGATGGATTCCACCTGCAGTCTTCCTCCACTCTTCATAATTGTTTTATTGTAGTAAAATATATGTAACAGAAAATTTACCATTTTAACTATTTTTTTAATGTCTTTCAATTTATTTTTGAGAGAGTGAGCACAGCGGGGGAAGGGCAGAGAGAGAAGAGAAGAGGGGAAAAAAAAAAAAAAAAAGATCCAAAGCAGGCTCTGTGCTGACAGCAGAGAGCCTGATGTGGGGTTTGAACTCACTAAGTACAAGATCATGACCTGAGCCGAAGTCATGCTTAACTGACTGGGCAACCTAGGCGCCCCCCAGTTTGACTGCTTTTAAGTGTCCAGTTCATTGACCTTAAGTATATTCACACTGTTGTGTGCCCATCATCAGTGTCCGTCTTCAGAAATTTTTATCATCTGAAACGGAAATTCTCTACCCGTTAAACACTGACACCCCCATGCCCTCTCTTTTCAGCCCCTGGTAACTACCATTATACTCTGTCTCTATGAAATAGACTATTCTAGGTACTTCGTATATGTGGAATTACATATTTGTCCTTTTGTGTCTGACATTTCACTGGGTATAATGTCTTCAAAGGTCATCTGTGCTATGACATATATCAGAATTTCCTTCATTTTTAAGGCTGATTAATATTCCATTGTATGTATATACCACATTTTGTTTAGGTATTCACCCATCATTTTTTATAATTCTTAAATGTGATTTGCCCTTAGCTCCTCTTGCTGTGACTAAAATAATTGATTTTCCTGCCGTTGGTGGTAGCAAATGTGAATAATTTGGTAGGTAATCAAGTAAAAACAAGTGCATTGACTCCTAGAGGCTATGTCAGCATTTTCCAGTAGCAGTGAATAAGTGAATAAGAATAAAATATGTCTCACAAAAGACATATTTTGTGAGAATATCTAAAAAAGCATTGTATTTGAATGGGTTATTAGAGAAAATATTTGGCTTATATAGATTAGTGGCTACTTTCCAAAATTATATAAAATTTATCTTCCCAACCATTTTTAAATGTACAGTCTAGTAGTGTTAAGTATATTCACATTCTTGTGCAACAAATCTCCAGAACTTGTTTACCTTACAAAACTGAAACTCTATACTCATTAAACTGTACCCCTCCTCACTCCAGCCCCCTGGCAACCACCAGTATAATTGTGGTTTTGATTTGCATTTCCCTAATGGCTTAATGATGTTGGGCATCTTTTCATGTGTTTATTGGCCATTTGTATACCTATTCAGATCTTTTGCCCATTGGGTTAACTTTTTATTATTGGCTTGTAAGAGCTTATATTCTAGATATGTCTTTTATCAGATACATGATTCAAAAATATTCTCCCATTCTTTAGGTTGTTTTCTCACTTTCTTCATGGTATCCTTTGAAGACAAAAGTTTTTAACTTTGATGAAGTCCAGCATATCTATTTTTTCTCTTGTTACTTGGGCTTTTGTTGTCATAACTAAGAAGTCTTGGCCCAAGTCAAGGTCACAAAGATTTACTCTTATTTCATTCCAAGGATTTTATCATTTAGGTCTGTGATTAATTTTGAGTTAAGTTTTATATATGTTATGAGGAAGTGGGTTCAGCTACATTCTTTTGCATGTAGATCCTCAATAAGTACTAGCAAACTGAATTCATCAATAGGTGAAACAATCAAACACCATGATCACATGAAATTTATTCCAGGGATGTAAAGATGTTTCAATATATGCAAATCAAGCAATGTGACACACATTAACAAAATGAGGGATACAAATAATCAGATCATCTTAATAAATGCAGAAAAAGCACTTGACAAAATTCAACATCCATTCATGATAAAACCTCTCCACAAACCGAGTATAGAGGTATAAGGTACCTCAACACCCATCGATTTATCTTGTTCATTCTCTATCTCTAGCACCAAGAGTAGCAGCTAGGTCAAAGTAGGCCTTCTAAGTATTTGTTGAATGGATAAATGATTGAATGAATGAATGAACAGTGTTTGGGGAGGTAGAAACAGGAATAGGAGAGTCTGGACTCATGGAGCAAGAATCTAATGGGAAAAGTAGACATGTGCTCCCAGGTTCATCAACTGTTACCATTCACTGCACCCAAGCTAGAACCATAAGAGTTACCCTAGACTCCTCATTTCCTTACTCAAAAAGTTACCAAGTGTTTAGATCCTTTTTCTCAACTGGATTACTGTAATAGCATCTTGATCCTGATTTTCCCACCTTCAGTCTTTGCCCATTTCAAACTCCAAACCATCCTCAAAACTTATTGATGTTATTGACATTTTCTGCACCTATTCCAAGATTAGTAAAACTTAGGGGCCCCTGGGTGGCTCAGTTGGTTAAGCGTCTGACTTAAGCTCAGGTCATCATCCATGGTTTGTGAGTTTGAGCCCCACATCAGGCTCTGTGCTGACAGCTCTGACAGAGCCTGGAGCCTGTTTCAGATTCTGTGTCTCCCGCTCTCTGACCCTTCCCCACTCATACTCCGTCTCTTTCTCTCAAAAAATAAATAAACATTAAAAAAAAGAATTTCCCACACTACTTTGTAGGTTGCTACACTTCAAACTGCCTTTAAAACGGATATTTCTATAATGCAAATTGGATTATATTGCTCGATTTAATATAACTGCAACGGGTCTTCCATACCTTTAAGATTCATTCATTCATTTAGCAAATATTTGTTAAATGGCAAAGTCTGTGCAAGCCAATGGGAATACACAGATAAACAGATCAGTTCATGACTTATGCAGTTTCTAATCTATTGAGAGACACAGAGAAGTAAACAGGCAAAGTGGTAAGTGCTAACATAGGCTTAAGAACAGCGTATTATGGGAGCTTATGGAGGAAGCTACCTCAGACTTGGAAGAGGAGGAAAGGCTTCCCAGAGGAAGGGACAGAAAACCAAGACCCAAGGGACAGCTTGGTGTTGACAACACAGGGAGAACAGCACGTATAGATCATTCTAAGTTCAGGGAAATGGAAATAATTCAGACTAGCTGGAGTGCAGAGTAAGAAGGAGAGAGGGAATGAGGCTGTAGAGATAAATGGTCTTTAATTTCTTTCATCAATGTCTGATAGTTTTCAGACTGAAGACCTTGGGTAAATTTATTCCTATGTATTTTATTCTTTTTGATGCAGTTGCAGATGGGATTGTTTTCTTAATTTCTCTTTTGATAATCCATTGTTAGTTATAGAAACACAACTGATTTTTGTATATTGATTTTATATCCTGAAAATTTACTGAATTCATTCATTAGTTCAAACAGTTTCTTGGTGGAGTCTTCACGTCTGTATATAATATCACATCATCTGCAAATAGAGACTGTTTTACTTCTTCCTTTCTGACTTGGATGCCTTTTATTTCTTTTTCTTGTCTAATTGTTCTGGCTAGGACTTCCAGTACTATGTTGAATTAGAGTGGCAAGAGTGGGTATCATTGGATAAACTGAGGCAAGATCGGAAGGACTTGGTGAGAGTTAAACTTTATCATGAAAGTGAAGAGGAGTTGTTGAAGGCTGGCTGATGTGGAGCATGAACTGGTATGTTGCTGGGAGAAGGGGTCAAGATAGAAGGCCCAGAGACTATTAGGAATCTAGTCATTTGGTGGTGGTGGTGGTGGTGGTGGTGGTGGTGGTGGTGGTGGTGGTGATAAGCCTGGTGCTTGGGTGGAAGAAAAAAAAGTGCAATGGCCTAACGTGAAAAAGAGCTTGGGTGTTGGAGGAACAGAGAGAAGACCTATGTAGCTAGAATTGAAAAAATAAGGAGGAGCCATGTGGATAGGGTTGAAGAGAGGGCAGGCCTTATTATATGGCCATGGCAGGAGCTGGGACTGTCTTCTATGCAATGGGAAG